AATTTTGAATTGATTGAAACTATTACCATTTGGGACAGATTGACATCAAATTGATTAGCATGATTTGGGGAACTCAGATTCAAAATGGATTCTCTTTCCTTTAAAATTATAACTGAATTTGTTTTAATGTATCCAGCTCCATTTTCTATGTATCCGGATAGTACTTAAAATAGTAGTACACTATGGAATTTAGATTAGTTATACAACTTGATAAAAATTGTAGATTAACATTATTAATTTGTAACATTTATTTTTTGTTCTCGTCTTTCATTTCCATATTTTATTAAATATACTTGTGATTGAGCTTAATGGGAATACATAAGTGCGCTTTGAATAATTTAAATCGTAGAATATTTTAATAGTAGATTTTTCTTTGATGATTTTTTTCATTGACCGTTGTTCTCTTTTGCCATTAGAAACAAGTATAAAGAATTAATATAACATATATATAAAAGATGCAAATTAAAACTTAAACGGGGCACGACAAGGCAAGGTGTAATCGGGTGGGTCATAACATTAAAAAAATTCTAAGTGAGGCGGGATAGGGAGGGTTCAAATCTTAGGGGATTGAGGATTGCCCCGCCCTAACCCACCCCAACCAGCCCTATTATCAATCCTATTACTGATGTTGTTAAGACCTCACCGGTCTAATTATTTTGTTTCAACGGTTTATTGTGATGGCTTTGTTGACCGTCATTTCTTTTCCATTATGTTATAATGTTTGGTGTCAGTTTTGCCTCCCCTAGTTTGGAGCGTGGCAATCCTCTTTGTAGACCTCCCGCAGAAAAAAGACATCACGCGTATTCCTCAGAATAAGGCAATCTATAAGCTCACAGTAGACTCATATCACCCTCCAATAAAATAAAAGAAACCTCTAATTCCCGTCGACTGCAAAAAGTTCATAAAAAATGAGATATGTAAAGTTCATAACATATGCAAAGTTAAGGAGGAACAAATGCAAAACAAAAGTTCTTTCACTTTCGAGATACATTTTATTTGTTATCAAAAAAAGAGGGACTCATTTGCTTGGGATGAAATTTTCCCTCCACAAATGGGTAAACTAGTCTAGGGCACGGGGTTAAATCGAAATTGAAGAAACATCGATTCTTCCTACCTTAAGTCGAAGAAAGTTTTAAGATCGCGTCTCCTGACATGACCAAGGTCAATATGTCCTTGATACAATCAATTGGTCACTCCTTAGTTGGACAAACTCCACGTTCTCTCATCGAAAATAAAGAATTTTATAGTTGAAATACTCTCATAATGATCATCAATTAGATCAACAACAGTCTATTTCAAGTTTAGTATTGATCTAGTCCTAAATAAGTTCCTAACCTAATGTTAGAGTTTAAGTATGTGCTACCAGGTAGCCTTTTTTTCAAAATAAATGTATAGTCTTTTCATGTTATGACTTAGACTTGATCTTTTGACCTATAAATGAGCTCTTTCATATGAAGGGATAACATTAGAACTCTCTCTGAAAATATTAGTAGATTAAGGATTCATTTGTTTGCACTTAATGGAGGTCCAAATCTTCGTCATTCAGATTCAGCCTATTAAGTACGTTTGATTTTTAGGTCTGAAACTGAATCATTCAGATTCAACCCATTAAATTCATTTGTTTTATTTTTTAAAAAACATCTTAATGGGTCTGAAGAGGTATGAACGAATCAAATCTGTAGGAGACTCTTAACAACATTCAGACTCATTTGATAAGTTACAAATAATAAATCATAATTTCTCTGCTTTTGGCGTGCTTTTTTATCTCATAATTAAAAACTTTCTTTCTCACTTTCGTCAATCAAATCAACTAGTAAGTTTTCATAAATTCTTTCAAGTTTTTTTAATATTAATAATTTTCTTGCATAGATGTGTGTCAAGACTCAAGAACACTGATTCACTACAACAAATTTGATTATTACGGACAAATAATTTCGTCATTAATAAATCATATTTCGTCACTAAAAATCTTGTGTGACGAAAAATAATTCGTCTCTAAATATGTGTCTCTAAATGTATATATGATAAATTTTATATAATGTATATATTATCCCCCCCCCCCCAACATTCCGGGCCAGAAGCTCACACATTATGTTGCCTTGGGGAATTGAATTCACAACTTTAAGGTTGAAAGTGAAGAATGCATATGTTGCCTTGGGGAATTGAATTCACAACCTTAAGGTTGAAAGTGAAGAATGCATACCTTCAAACCAACTCTCTCTTGTTGTTCATTTTATTTTATTTTATAGTTCATTCACTTCTTTCAAATTTAACTTTTGTAGAAACAATATATTATATGATTATTTATACTCATCCACGAATACATGAAATTTTTAACCACAATTCATCCAAATGTAGATTATACTTGAAGTAAACTGTGTATTTTTTAAACATGTTAGATATATTCAGTACAATTTTGTCATTTTATTTATTGATTTTTGTAAATTTTTAAAATTATTCAGTACAATAATAAATTTATTTAAAATTAAACTTTTGATTTTATTTTAAAAATAAATAATTGGTTCAAGTTGAACATCGATACCAATAACTATAGTCCTTCATCATAATATATTTGAAATCCTCGTTAATTTCTAATTTCTGTTATTTGTGCTTTTATTTATTAGTTTATTTCAATTTTCACAGTGATGGGAAAAGTTAATAGAAATTCAATTGCACCTTTGCAAAGTCTAATTTTATAAGCCCGATGTTATCTTTGTATGGTTACTCTACGTACGTATGTGGAATTACTTTAAATATATACATATTTATATACAAAAACAAATAGATTGACTTAATTTATGTAGTTTATCAATCACAAATCAATAGACATTCACAAAACTTAGCACAAAGACTTGACAATTTTTTTTTATCGTGCTTATCAATGAAATTGTATCAAATAAAAAATAAAAGTGCTAAACAAACAAATATCAATGATCTAGTGGTAAAATTGTACCCACACATAATACCTATAACTCGGATTGTATTTTTCAATTGATGCATTTTGTAATTGCGCAATTTAAGAAAATTGATGTATGGAACTTTTTCGTTTTTACAAAATCGATCGAATTTATCGATTTTAATATTTTCACTTGTCAATTAACGAATGGACTCTGTCTACTTCTTATGAAGCACTTGTATTATTCTTTTTGTAAGTCGACCCTTGTAATTATGAACAATTGTAGAAAAAAATTGTATCTAGCTATGTAATTTTTTTTGTAACAAATAGTTTAATTATTCACTACAAATTTTAAGTCGTCGCTATTTAACACCTTACATATTTTGTGATAATTTTTTTGTTTTCACTAAATCATAGATTTATTAGAGACAATAAAATATTTGTCACCAATTATTTATATTATTAGTGATGAAATAAATGTCATAATTAAATTTAAATTTTCATAGCTAAAATTTACAATATTTAACTACGAACTCTAAGTTATCGATATTGTAACAACATATATTTTTAAATGAAATTTTTTGCGTCCAAAATTTAATAAATTATAAAACAAAATATATTTTGTCATGAATTAGATACATTATTAGTGACGAAATAATTTGTCACTGATAACTTTAAATTCGTGATGAACATTACTTAACAAATGACGTCAATTATTTTTTTGGTGGAAAACTTTAGTGGACAAAACTTTGCTACAGATTTTGTGTTTCGTCACTTAAAGAATGTGTTTCATATATTTAAGCAAGAAAAGTAAATTTCGTCACTAAAAGAATGTGTCTCATATATTTAAGCACAAAAAGTAAATTTTGTCACTAAAAGCGAATAATTAGTGACGAATTTGATGTCGTAGTCTATTTTAAATTACATACACTATAAGTGACGAAATAATGTGTCACTGATAACTTTAAATTCGTGACTAACACTATTGAACAAAATGACGCCAAATAATTTTTTGGTGGAAACCTTTATTGGACAAAATTTTGCTAGGAATTCCTATGTTTCGTCACTAAAAGTATGTATCTCATATATTTAAGCACGAAAAGTAAATTTTTTCACTTAAAGCGAATAATTTGTGACGAATTTGATGTCGTAGCTAATAATTTCATAGCTATATATCATACTTGTTATAGTGATTGTAATAATATTTTTGGTTTATTATTGTTTATCAAGATTTTTGAATGAAAAATACTACCTAAATCATGATTATTAAAATTTTTAGGACTTTTTTTTAAACAAAAGTGATATATTTTGTTGAACGGAAAATTTTAGGATATTTTATTAATATAATGTTTAATTTCACATTTACATTCAGCTATTAAAAACAAACACATTAATTATTTAGTGTTCAAATTTAGAGACCACGATTTAATATTTATATGTATATTCAAATCAAAACTCTTATATCTTAATACAAATCTTAATATTTAAATATGTATTTAAATTTAAAAATTTAATCTTAATGAAAATAAATAAGGCCTAATTCTCTTAAAATTACGATAAAAGAAGACTCTTGACCTTTTTTTTTCTGCGGTACTTTTCTTTTCGTTTCTTTGAATAATTTATACTATTTTACTCGGTCTCTACTTTGTTGATTCAAACAAAAGGAAATTAACTTAATCGATTTAACCCACTTATCTTTTAACCCTTTTTAACAAATTCTATTATTAACTAAAACGACAATCTTATTTATAAACGACTACACTAAAGTAAAAGTCATATAATTAAAATAAGAGAGTGTGAATTTGGGTTACAACTATTTAGCTCTAATTCTGAATTGAGCTTTAGTGATAAATATTCAAATTCAAGGTTTGCACTAAACTAATAAATAAATAAATAATACATATATTTTGCAAAAAAAAGTTTATGGTTATAACAATATTCCTACTTAAATAAATAAATTACTTCATTCCTTTTAGTTTGTTTCAGTAAAAAAACTATTATTCTTTTTGCTATATGTTTAATTTCAATTTTACATGTATGAACCACAAAATTAAAAGAATGTTAGTATATATTCTTTTAACAATTTTTGCCCTAAAATTATAATAATAATAATAATAAAAAAAGCGTTGATTTGACGCCACCATAGGCGGCAGTTGGTATCTATAGTAAAACCCTTGTTGGTTATCGTTGAACGGGAAATGGACCCTAACGACCTAGCGAAGGCATTTGTGGAGCACTACTACTCCACCTTCGATAGCAACAGGGCTGCGCTTGGAAATCTGTACCAAGAAGGTTCCATGTTGACATTTGAAGGCATTAAAACTCAAGGTTCACAAAATATTGTCGCTAAACTTACTAGCCTTCCCTTTCAGCAGTGTCATCATACCATCACTACCATTGATTGTCAGCATTCTGGTCCTGCTGGTGGCATGATTGTTGTCGTCTCCGGTAATCTCCAGCTAGCCGGCGAACAGCATGCTCTTAAGTTTGGCCAGGTTCTAAAAAAATTTCTGATTTGGGTTTTGTTTTGTTAACTGCAATTTATGATTTACGAGAATTTTCTATTCAAGGGTTGCTTGCCTTCAAGTTGAATTTTCTTTGGGAACAGAAAAAGTTGAGATACATAATCAATATTATAATGGAGAATTCATACTCTGAATACTCGGTGGGTGGAAATGATAATGCTGAGCCTTTAGCTTTAGTTGAATTTTGGTATTTGGATTAACAGTTTCTCCGAGCAATTTTTAACAATTCTGAGCAATTTTCATTCTGAAGAGGGTGAATAAGGTTATTTGATTCCTAATATTGCTTGCTGCTAGAGTCTTTTGCTCATAAAGTACTACGAACAGAGTTGGGCTTGTACTTCTTGCTTGTCTATTACTATCTTCAGATGACATTTATGTGCAAACATAGGCATTATTCATGCTAATAACAGAGGGCAAAAATTGCTTATTTTCAGAACTTACAAGTTTGCATTAATCTGATAACAATGACTCTACTTCAATTCGAACATCTTTACAATCCGTTTCGTGTCATTTCAAAGTACATGGTGTATGTGATGTTCTTTTCATTTATCCAAGTGTAATACTGTATTCTTTTTTGTTTCCAGTGCTTGTAACAGCCTCTAACTACCATAAAAGGGTTGGTGTTTTCCTTTACCTTTCAGAAGATAATACAATGTCGATAGGGCGCTTGGTTAGTGTAAATTGAGCTTGGTTTTGTTAAGTGTCATATGATCGACTCCGTTGTAGACTCGTAGTAGATTTTTTTGATTGGTGACTCTCTCATAGTAGGTTTTTTTTTTTGACAATTGGTAAGTTGTGTTCTTCAGCGTTAGGGAATGCTGGCCACCATCAGAAAAGAAAAGGCTACTTCCCAAAAAATTTTACAACTATACATCTTTTATGCAAAATTGTTTACACCAAAAGAGTAAAGATACTGCACAATTCCGTTTGACTTTGTGGATGAAATTGTTTCTATCTTGAAGATATCTATCAGTCCTTCCTCTCTAGACATTCCACTAAATACACTAAGGAATCAATTTCCACCGTCTCTTTTGAGTCTTGCTGCCCCCTCTTCTAATCCAGCAGCTTAAGAGGTCGGAAGTATGTGCTGGCATGGTCCATCTTTGGCCAGAGTTGTTTAGGAAAAGCTCCAATTGTTGGGTAGTGTACTTACAATGTAAGACAAACCTCATAGTAGACTTTAATGTTCAACTTGATTTAATTGATTTCTTATTCTAAAGACATTTTGTTGATGCACTCTCAGTGAGTTTATTGGACTTTAGCTTTGTTAGGGTTATCATTTTAGGGATAGAAAATCAGTTATTATTGCTAGATCTCTGTGGAACTTGTGCTTGTAGATTGTATCTCTTGTACCACTCTGGTGAAGGTATCTTTGTTCAATGTGTAAATTTTTGGGAACCTTTATGTCACATGTTATATAAGCCTTTGGGCAGCCTCCCTCCCAATAATGCGGTTTAAAGAAATAGAATCTTGACTCTGGCATGACTTAGTTTCTGATTTAACCTCTTTATTCTGATGGAAATTTGTGTGAACTTTCATATATGTGGTGAATGGCTTCTCTGATATTTTAGTTCCCTCAGCTAAATTTAACCCCTTATCGGCAATGAATTTAATTAAACACTAATTGTTCCAATATTACTTGTTACATTTAAAGCAAAGAATTCTGAAGAACTTATTACATTCCTGTTATGTGATTCGTTTCATAAGATAATGCATTTATTTTGTCTTTGATGACACATTGATTATTTGTTATTTTCTGTGGCTTAAACTTCCAAATTTCCTTTTCTTGCAGATGTTTCATCTGATGCCAACGCCACAAGGAAGCTTCTACGTCTTCAATGACATTTTCCGGTTGAATTATGGCTGATATGCACGAGACGAGTGCAACTCATGTTAATTTGTTCTGTCTTATTCAAGTTTGAGACTTTTGGATGAAATTCAAGTTTCTTGAAATGGTGCTATTGTGCCTCTCCTATATATACTTGTTTTAGAAAATGCCATGGTTTAATGTTTTAGAGTTGCTCAAATTTCTGGTCTGTTGATGTTTTACTCATTGGAGAATTGACTTTTTGATCAAAATATGAGTGTCGTTGGTTTGTTAAGTTTATTTATGCTGAAAACGAATTATGCAAAAGTATACTGGTGCACTGCACCATGAATCCATGCTTCAACCAAACCAATCCTAATAATACCTTATTTATTCATAGGGTTTACAATATTACAGCATGAGTTGTTGGTGTTTTGAAATACTTGTGTAAGAAGTGAGTGAATGGGAAATGCTAGTCTTCTTCATTGATGAAGTCGAAAGACGGCAACTCCATATGTGGAAGCTCTGGAACTTTTAGCTTTGGGAGAGACATAGCTTCAACTTGATGTTTTTCAGAGTTGTTTAGATGGTCGTCTGGACCATTTAATAGAGGTGGAGGGCGTTTCATCCAGCCCGTAAGCATACTAGTAATGGATCTAAAGGGATGATTTAATCCATCTTTCATTTTCAAAATGATAGAAACCTCAGATAGTTGCCATGTCAAGGTGAGGAGAATCATGGCTGATAAAAGACATTGTGTGATAAAATTCTGCTTCTGTATCTTCCTCAACTCTTTTACTACCTTATCTTCTTCTTCAGATTGAATTTCAACTGGTGCTTCTTGTAAGTTGGTTGATTCATTCAATTGAGATTCTTCTTTTAGTGAATCCAGCTGTAAGTAATACACAAAGTGGCTCGTGAAAAATGGAAAGAGAGAGTTACTCGAATAGTAAGCGGGGATCTGAAGTCTTTATGATCCTTAACACAGAAAACACAAATAGTTGAAAATAGGATACTCACCTGAGTTACAAGTTGTGAGAGGAGTTGGTGGCGGTGGTCGGCTTCTTCATCATCATCATTATCAACGGCAACGAAACTGTCATCAAGAAGATGACATGTTTTTGATTGAAGTTGTTCATGTTTGATTAATTGGTCGATTGCTTTCTGTATGAGTTCCACTTTCTTCACCCTTTCTCTTTCCTTTTCCATAATTTCCAGTTTCTTCTTCTTTCATTCAAAGAGAGACGTGTTGATTTGTGGCTGTTATGTGGTGGGTCATCATATATTTTTCACTACAAAACAAATGGTTTATAATAGAGTGTGAGAGAGAGTCAACAGCTACCGCAATCCCACTTCAGCTTCTGCCGTTAATATTAACCATTCACCTCTTCACACGTACCAATTCTTTTTTGCAAATAAGTTTTAATTGCTAAACTAGTACCAAAAAAGTATCAAGTCATGTTGATATATCCATAACTCTTCTCTTTTATTCAACCAAACAAGGTATTCATTATGCTGAATTTAGTATAGAAATTACTTCAGGAGGGGTCGTTTGGTAGAGTAATTCATACCTTAGCTTTGTGTACAACTAATAGTTTGTTCATTACTTTTTTTTTTTAATCTATGTATATCACTACATCTAATATAAATATTAGTTATACACTTTGTCGTGTAAACATTAATAATAGTGTATTACTAGTATCATAAATTTCTAAATATTTGCAATGCAATGATTTTAATGCATGTATTATTATAATATTTTTCACATCTTTTCCACCATATTTGAGAAGAATATCTTTGTAAATATTTTTTTTATGCAATGCATGCTATCTTTAGTGCATCAACCCAAATGATGCATAAAAATAACCCATCTATACTAATACATTATTTTCGGGTTCACTCGTCAATATCTGAAGAAAAATAAATAAATATTTCACCAACCACACAGTAAATTTAGTTGCTTTTCTTTTTGTTTTTCCTATAAAGATAATGAGATGATAAATTTTTTTAACTTCATTCAAGTTTTGAGTATCAGCAAGTGAGATACCACACGAGTAGTGAAATCCGTCATTTTAGACGGGTTGAGATTGATTTTGTAACCAAATAGGCAGTCATGCAAGTGACTAAACCACAACCAACCCCTAGTATTTACCCTTTAAAATAAAACTTTCAAGCTAATCTTGCAGGCATACAATATTATAAAGTTCAAGTTTTGAGCCTATCAAACCTATACACATAATTATGAACAGCAGCACCTACAAAACACATAGCTTACAATGACTTACAAATAGCAATAACCAAACTTCAATGTATAATTTTTCAACCTACTGATACTAGTTTGGATGACAATGAAGAGGTCAGTTGGATAAATAACTAGGGAACTGATATATGTCATCATTTTCCATGTTAGACATGTCCATGAGCAGTTGATGCTGTTTCACTGTCCGCTCCTTCAAGTTCAGCCTGCCGTCCAACAAAGATTATTAGCTATTCGATTTACCTGATTTCAAACTATGAAAGCAGAACTAAATGCTCCCTATCCCCCTCCTTCAAATAGAAAATTTTGTTTAAAAAAATGGAGTACGTTATGGACAAAACACATGGATCAAGAAGCTAATTATGTTTCCACCCCTATCCCAGATAGGCTGTAAATAATTTAGACACACAAGAACATTCATTCACTCATATTTTTACAGTTGCATACACACTGCCACCAATATCCTCATATTTGGATTTTAGTTTGTCCTTGTTCCATCGCATACGATGTAGCTACTCCAGAACCTGACTATTTTCACGACAATATCTTCTCTAAAGCCATGAAATCAAATATTTACATTTATGTAATACTAGGAGATGGGAATAACAATTTTTCCATCCTTTCAAGATAAGGTAAAAGAAAATTTAAAGCATAATGGAATATATACTTAATGAATCTGTGCCCCTAAAATCTCACAAAGGTGATAGAGAAGGATTTTGTTCAGTCCCACAATGTACATGATGAAGCATTCCACATGCAAAATACTAAGTACACATTCACCGATTGGAAGTTCACTAACTCATGTATATTAATCACAAAAAGGATGTAGTAGAATGATTCTTTAGCTTACCTTAGATTGCCGATACTTCTCAAGTATCCGATGATATTGCTGACGTGCCCCTGGAGATTCAACCATTGATAACACTCTCGAGACAGCCTCGTCAAGAGCAGCATCAACTTTTTGTTTGCGGAACACCTTCAGAATGTCTTCATCCTCAATTTCATCAATTGATTCTGTGTCATGTCGAAATCCCCGAAGACCAACACCTCGTCGACGCCACCTTAACACCACCTTCTCCAAGATTCCAACAGCCCAACATACCTTGTATTGCTTTCTAACCTGATAGCCTCGTACATGAGCCTGCCATGAGAATCACCTGGAAGTCACTTTCTCTGCTGAACAAATTATTTTCTAATCTCCAAACATTTTCCATCCTCACCCTCCCAAAAACCAAATAATAAAATAAAATTGAAGACTCTTCCCAACTTATATATAATTCATTTTTCCCCAGATAAATATGATTACACTTCTTTTTTAGTTAGAGATTGTATTTGAAGTCTATCACCGCTTAACTATCATATGTTCGAGTATAATGAGGCTTAAAATATCAAAATCTTGATTTCAAGCATTTAACGCACCTGTATCTTCACTACTTTCTGGCGGAATGCAAGGAAATCTTTCCGGCCTTTCCATCCTCGATATTTTTTCTGAATAGCTAAGGCTGCTGAGTTGTACTCTCGCGGGTTGCGGAATGCCAACTTTGATGCAGCTGAAAGCCCCTGAATATCGTTTGAGAGGATACCATATTCATCTACACTTGTGGTAGCAGAAACACCAAATTCTCTCTGTTGTCTTTTGCGGAACGAATGTGCTCGGAATGCAGACTGTATACGAGCAGCAGCCTGAGCTGCATTACGGACTGCAGCTAAAGTGTCCTTTAAAGAACGCTGATCCTCATTAATGGTGGCACTTGTGTTTGATATACTACTAATAGTTCTCTCTGCTTCCACATCAGCAGTACCTTTTGAGAGCTCGCTCTCCTCTAAAGTGAGGGATGAAAGATGACTGGTGAGAGCTACCTCTGAAAGATATCCTGCAAGTCCCTTATGACCGCAGCAGGAAGCAATTGATGCAGCAGTTTTACCAACTGGATCTCGTGAAGAGGGATCTGTAACAGCTCCAGCCGATGCCCCGGATGCGATGAGCGAAGCAACCATTTTTTCCCTGTCACGGATATAGATATTTACTCAACTGGCTATTTATGGGTACCACACATAAGGCCCTTGTAGAGAATAGAGATTGTCAAAAAAAAATTCACTACGCATGCAAACATAGACAGACATATAAAGGGAGAAAGATTCAAGGAGTTCACCCTGATATCTCTCTTTATTATTATTGTTATGTTCCTTTCTTGAATAATCAAGAAAACCCTGCCAGCGGTGTAAAATTCGATACTCGGTGCCTAATGGGCCTGTGACGTGAGCATAACCCACACCACCCTGATATCTCAACATCCATGAAGTGTTCCAAAGCTGAATCTGTCCATTTGGTCAATATATTACTCCATAAATAATTTTTAAGGTTGAAAATATTGCCTAATGTGCTAAACTCTATAATTTCACATAGGCAAATTAGGAGCAACTATCTAAATTTTCACATAGGCAAATTAGGAGCAACAAAAACATACCCAATGTAGTCCCACACAGTGGGGTCTGGGGAGGGTAGTGCGTACACAGACCTTACCTCTACCTTCAGAGATAATTTAGAAAGGTTGTTTCCAATAAAACCCCAGCTCAAGACAAAAACAGTTTAAGAAGAGACATAATGGAAGTACAATAGACAATAAATAGTAACATAACAGTACTACAGCAAAATACTAGTACAAACAAACTACATGAAATAATAGATAGTCACAGAAATTGAAGAACAGGAAACTACAAGAGTAGTCCTAAAACTACTAGTAAGGGCCACAAGACAAAGCACTCCTAAATCCTACCTAGTAGTATGGACACAATCCTACCTCCTAACCTTTTATCCTAATTTGTGTCCTCCATACCTTCCTATGTAAGATCATGTCCTCGGTAAGCTGCAATGTGCCAAGTCCTGTCTAATCACCTCTCCCAAACATTTCTTGGTCTATCTCTACCTCTCCTAAATCCATCCATAACAAACCTCTCATACATCAGCATTGGGGCATCCATGCATCTCCTCATCACATGCCCGAACCATCTCAACCACGCAGCCCGAGTCATAGGCAATTTAGGAACGAGACTAAAACTTACAGTAAAACTGCTACAACTGAGTGACTGAGGCAAAATTCAAAATATCATCCATGTTCATACTTTTTGTATGCATAAACAAAATAGAAGGTTAGTAGTCTTGCTTATCCTTTCTTACTAGTAGTCATTGTATATCACCAATAGTGCTTGTCCTTAGATTTCTAGTACTATCTCCTTTTACTTCAATTATCACACTATTTCTTGTAGCTACAGTTCATTTTTCAGAATGCTTTGTCATGCATTTTTCTAGTATATGCTTTTCCTTAAGTCGGGGGTCTATCGAAAACAACCTCAACACCTTCCAAGGTAGAGGTAAGGTCTGCGTACACTCTACCCTCCCCAAACCCTACTCGTGGGATTACATGTATGTTGTTGTACAGAGAGTGTAGATGTAAGATATGGTTTATTAATCTTTAAAATAACTGAAAAATCCATAGCCCGATGGTGCATGGAATGGAACCTTTTGGCTGATGCCCCTCTGCATTTCTGCACTTAAATGATAAACGTTTGCTTGTGTCAGGGTTCGAACAAGGGGTCATGTACCTAACCCTCATATCATGCATTGTGTCTCATACCACTAGACCAAAGCCCTGGGGGCCAGAAGCAAGACATGTTTGACTTTCTAAAAGTTTTTTATCCAGCTTCTATTGCTACTGAAACCAACATAACACTCAAACTGAAGTACAGTGAATAGAGAAGCCATTTACCAAACAACAAAAAACATAGATTACCTCCCGAAGCGTGCAGCCCAGTGCAGGGCCGTCCAGCCATTAATATCACGGAAGTTAGCACTGACTCCAGCATTTAGAATTGGGTGCAGCGCCCACTCAAATCCCAATCCAGCAACCATGTGAATTATTCCTTGCTCCTTCTTAGATAAAGAACAGTCTATCTGATTATCCTTTTGTTGCAATTTACTACAAAGCCACTGCTGGAACTTGTCTTTCAAAAGCTCTTGAAGAAGCC